TGCTTTTTCAATTATTGCTTAATAAAATATGAAACTATATTGCTTCTGAAGTGCATACACAATTTCAGTATCTCAAATTTAATTGCTATCACTGGTTTAACACTGCAGGCAGCAGCTTTTTGGATAATGTTGCCCTCACAGTATATACATTTACTGAATATATTTTAGCCTGCCTTTCTAAGTGCTTGTAAGGGTTAGTAAATACATGTATTTTATACCAAAAAACAGTGAAAAGGGAAAAAATAAATAGATAAATCATAGAGATCTCAGTAAAAAGGAAAAGAACTGATCATGCAACAGGTGAAATGATAGCTTTAAAATGTCAAAGTTTTAAATATATATCCTATAAAAATTACACTGAAATGTGAAGAGAAAGATCTACAAAATAAGGTTCTGATTACTGTTCTTGTGTGATTTTACACCAAGTCATTTACAACAGACAAACTTATTGACCTCCTGGAACACTGAGGTATGCTAAACTATAAACTGCTAAGAATGAAGGTTGAATGAAAATGGGATCACAACTTCACACTAGGACCAGGTGAAATAATGCAGTCCGTGTTACTGAGAAAGAGTAATACACAGTCCAGAAGTCTTAGGTTACTACTGTGAAGCTCAGGCAGGAAAAAACAACAACAAAAACACTAACATGAGATACAATTTCACAGCATGGCTAGTATTTTGGCTCCTTTTGGTAAAAGGATGGTGAAACATGATCCCAAGATTTTCAGCATACTTAACTATTTCTGAATTTCTCCCTCTGTATTTTGCATTAGACAAAACAGAGTCAGTGAACCAAAACAAGTAATTAACTAGCAGCAAGCATGGTTTTTCCACAAGTGCAAATGTTGCATATAAAATGATCTGGTAATCATATTCCAGAAAGAATAAGAAAGAGTAAGAAGAATATTTGATTTCAGAATGTTTTCAAAACATTCTATGCTATAGGGAACAGTGATAAAGTAGTCTTTGTAACACCTACACCTAATCCACACTTCATCTACTGTTAAGTATACTAAGAAGAATCTTTCCATAAATATGATTCTTAACATGATTCCATTGTCCCTAAATTGTGAATGAGACCAGGTGCTAAACAAGTGTGCATTCACTGGTTTTATTGCCTCCCAACAAAAGAGATTAGGCTGCAGAATCCTCAGAGAAAAAGATTTATATTATGAAAGTATTTGATATAAAAGAATAAGTAGTGAAAAGTACAATTTATGAAGATTGTACTGTTGTTGTAATATTTCTTTTAAGTAATTGCTCTGTCACTTTAAATATGTACTTTCTGTGCTAGATTGCTTTGGACAGCTCCTTACAGCTTCTATGAAAAAAAAGTACGTAAGGGGGCAGCACACAGAAATGGCAACAGTTGCGACTTTCATATATGCCTGGGCAAAATCTACTTTTAGAAAATGATCCGATGTCCAGATAAATTCTTGCCTCTTCTACTTCTAAATCATTCTTATGAATCTTACTTGAAAATATTGCTGAAGCATAGTAAGTTTCAAGGAAAGAAAACAAAAACAGTTTGTCTGCAACACCGCTTAAAACAGAAGGGTATTCAAGTAGGATAGTCATCTTGAGGAAAACAGTACTATCTGGCAGATTTTTGAATGAAATTGAAAACAAATAATCCCTGTATCATTTTTCTAAGTCTGGTACAGTTAGGTATCACCTCCTCAAGGAAAATTGTATGGCTTATTCTGATATCTATACCAACATGAAACATTATAACAGACAGAAATGGATGAGCACACAATTGTATGAGATACTAACAAACCATTTTTTTTTTGCTTTAATGTATATTATAAGATATGAATAATTTATCTACATGCTCTGAAAACAGAAGGTCTACCTGAGAAGTATATAAAAATATAAAAATAGATATCAGGAAATTTATTTAACTGTTCTCTGTAAATATAGTAGACTATCTACCTCCTAAGCTTCAGCAGAAGTTGAAAGCTTCTTTATGAATAACTTGTAATAACTGAAATACTCTAATTCTATCCAAGCTTTGCCATAACGCTAGAATACTGAATAAACTCAATCAATCAATTTCCATCATATGCAAGATGTAAAACAAATTGGTAAGATTACAACACTAAAGGCAATTAACTACTTCCTATTCTATCTCAGATCAGATGTGACCTATAATATCATGTAAAATATAGTTCAAAAATAAAGTAAAATATTTAAGTCTTTTCCAGACAGTTCAAGTTTATAATTTCTAGATTTTATTGTCTCTTTTGAAACTACCATGAGCAACACAGGAAAATAGAAAAAACAGTAATTTGCAATAGCAAATCTATCTTAGAAAACAAACAAACAAAAAACAACACACAATTCAAAGGACAGGCAAGTCTGAAGAAAAAGATAAGCAATCTAGACCTCAATAATTGTGAAGTCTATTTCCTATTTTGTTTTCTTTAAGTTCAATAAAAAGTAGTAGTAGTAGTTATGAAATCATAGAATCATAGAATATCCTGAGTTGGAAGGGACCCTTAAGGATCATCAAGTCCAACTCTTGACACCGCACAGGTCTACCCAAAAGTTCAGACCATGTGACTAAGTGCACAGTCCAATCTCTTCTTACATTCAGACAGGCTCGGTGCAGTGACCACTTCCCTGGGGAGCCTGTTCCAGTGTGCAACCACCCTCTCTGTGAAGAACCCCCTCCTGATGTCAAGCCTAAATTTCCCCTGCCTCAGCTTAACCCCGTTCCCGCGGGTCCTGTTAATGGAGAAAAGGTCTCCTGCCTCTGGCGTTAATGGAGAAAAGGTCTCCTTCCTCTCGACACCCCCTTACGAGGAAGTTGTAGACTGCGATGAGGTCTCCCCTCAGCCTCCTCTTCTCCAGGCTGAACAGGCCCAGTGCCCTCAGCCGTTCCTCGTACGTCTTCCCCTCCAGGCCTTTCACCATCTTCGTAGCCCTCCTCTGGACACTCTCCAACAGTTTCATGTCCTTTTTATACTGTGGTGCCCAGAACTGCACACAGTACTCGAGGTGAGGCCGCACCAGTGCAGAGTAGAGCGGGACAATCACCTCCCTCGACCTGCTAGCGATGCCGTGCTTGATGCACCCCAGGACACGGTTGGCCCTCCTGGCTGCCAGGGCACACTGCTGGCTCATATTCAACTTGCTGTCTACCACGACCCGCAGATCCCTCTCTTCTAGGCTGCTCTCCAGCGTCTCATCGCCCAGTCTGTACGTGCAGCCAGGGTTTCCCCGTCCCAGGTGCAGGACCCGGCACTTGCTCTTATTGAACTTCATGCGGTTGGTGATCGCCCAGCTCTCCAACCTATCCAGATCCCTCTGCAAGGCCTTTCCACCCTCATTCGAGTCCACAACTCCTCCAAGTTTGGTGTCATCAGCAAACTTGCTCAAAATACCTTCTATTCCTACATCCAGATCGTTTATAAAAATATTGAAAAGTACCGGCCCTAAAATGGAGCCTTGAGGGACCCCACTGGTGACCATCCGCCAGCCTGACACAGCCCCATTTACCATAACCCTTTGGGCCCTGCCCGTTAGCCAATTGCCCACCCATCGTATGACGTTTTTATTTAGCTGTATGGTGGACATTTTGTCCAGTAGGATCCTATGGGAAACCGTGTCAAAAGCCTTGCTGAAGTCCAAAAAAATCACATCAGCTGGTTTCCCTTGGTCCACCATACGGGTGATCTTATCATAAAAGGAAATCAGGTTAGTTAGGCAGGACCTACCCTTCACAAACCCATGCTGGCTGGGACCAATGACTGCTTTGTCCCCCAGGTGCGCCTCAATAAGTTCGAGAACCATCTTCTCCATGATTTTACCAGGCACTGACGTGAGACTGACAGGCCTGTAATTGCTAGGGTCTTCTTTCTGACCCTTCTTGAAAATCGGCACAACATTTGCCAGCTTCCAGTCTACCGGGACCTCTCCAGATTCCCAGGATCATTGAAAAATAATTGAGAGAGGTTCCGCGATGACGTCCGCCAGCTCTTTCAGCACCCGGGGATGAATCCCATCCGGACCCATGGACTTGTAGGGATCCAGGTGGAGTAGCAAATCCCGCACACATTCAGGGTCTGTCATCCCCACCGTCCTGGTCCTCCAGCTCAGTGGAGGCCTAACATGCCTAACATGTTTATTCTTGAAATTTCTTACCCTTTCCTTTTAACTGCAAAACATTTTATTTTAAAGATTTTTTTTAGTGTTTACATGTTTTTCCTTTCTGCTACTTCAGGCTTTAGGAAACAGTGACTTGCTATAGGATAAACTAATAATATGAGTATTGATAATAGTTTAAATATTTGTAAATATTGTTTTTAAGTGTATTTGCAGTTATTATAAAAATATATAATTATTCACTAAAAATTAGGAAGCCATTCAATTTAAATTTATTTAAGAATTTTAACAATTGATGTTCATAATAGTTCATAAACATTTTAATAATTTTGCTGTTCATCTTTACAGTCATAAAATACAACTTTATTTGAATTTAGTTTCTTAATTCGTAGCATTTTGTAGAAATACGTCAAGACTACATTACTGTATGGGCTCATTCATCCTTTTATATAATACTTATAACACCTATTATGAGGTCAGGCTGTAGCCCTCTTCTTTCTTTTACACATCAGCATCACTAGTAACATTTGTGCTTTGATAGTAAGACATTATTTACAAAAGAAGTCATATCATATTCCAGTAGCCTAAGAAAATCATTGCAGAGGTAAGGAAAAAATAAAAAATAGTTGTCAAAAATGAACAAATCAAACCTGAGAAGAACTTTACAGGATGCACATCTGATATATATATATATTAATTTGTATTTGTTAAGTAAAACAGACAGTGGCATTGGGGTAATACTGAGCTCCACAGTACTCAGATTCAGCACATAACTGGAATAGCGCCATTCATCAAAACACTGAATTTTGCATACACTGTAGTTTTCAGGCTCTATAAAAGACCATACGTTGTTAAAATTTCAAAAGAAAACTCAATAAATTACATACCTCGTGTCTGTTTAAGAAGAAGATGGAAAGCAGATTCCTTAGTGGTGAACTTAGTTAGGACAGATGCACTGAGGTGACAACTGGACTGTTCCTGATCTGAGGACCAAAAATAAAAAAATAAAAAATAAACAACCAAGAATCTGACTACTTCAGAATAATATATCCCGTGTTAAAGAGCAGTAACATTGAATAGCAAACCGCTGACAAAAGATATGATACACAGAAATACAACAAACTGTCTGGAGAAGACCACCTGGTTACAGAACAAGATTAAAATAACTTTAAGGAACAGAAGAATGAACAAAGATGTTCAGGAAGGTGAAGAGAAGCTCTCATGATGGAAAATATCCAATGTCCTGTTTCTTGTCAGAAGACAGTCTCAAAATTATTTCACCTCAGGAACAAAGTTTCAGGTTTTGGAAAGTAGTTTAGAGGTTGAAAATTAAATTTGCAACCCATTTGCAAGCTAGAATTCAAATACACTTTCAAATTATCAAAGGTGGGTGCATAAGAAAAGCCTACATACCTATTTTAATATATTACTAGAGCAACATTTTTTCTTAAACTGAGATACTGCAATGGCAGAAAAGCTATCTGAAATGGTTTCCTTATAAGTATTCTTTAAATCTATATAAGGACCATATAAGGAAATTTATAATTTCCTATATAATAGTGTAGCCTATTGGCTACACTATTCCTGATACAAGCCAGGATGCCATTGGCCTTCTTGGCCACCTGGGGACACCTGGATTCATGTTCAGGCAAACATCAATCGGCACCCCCAGATCGTTTTCCTCTGCACAGCTTTCCAGCCACTCTGCCCCAAGCCTGTAGCATTGCTTGGGGTTGTTGTGGCCAAAGTGCAGAACCCAGCACTTAGTCATGTTGAACCTCATCCCATTGGCCTCTGCCCATCCTCACCAGGTTCCTCTGTGGGAACCTGGTGAGGATGGTCAGGTTCCTTCCTACCCTCTGGCACATTGACACTTCCCCTCAACTTGGTGTCACCTGCTGTCATCCCCAGCTTAGTGTCGTCTGTACATACATGTATACATACCTGTTACCATTACTACGATATCTACAACATGTGAGTTAGTATACCCATTACCTTTCCAGGTAAACTCTATTTGGACAACATAAAAGTTTAACTAAATTACTTTCCAGAACATATAAAGACCATAAATAGTAAGCTGAACATTGTTTACAAGACTAGGTTTCTCTTTCTTTGAAAAGAAGGAATCAGGGTAACAAATTCAAGACACTTTAAGAAGACAATTATGGGTTTTGTTCCATATAGATCACAGTACAAATTTGTTTCTCATAATTGCTCTTCTTGCTGTACAAATCAGAATACCAGATTACACTTCACGCTAGAATGAAACATGCCACATTCCACAATCTGCACTGAGAAGCTTCATGTCATACATGTAATACGCACCTGTATTTTAAGAAATTGTATAATCACTTAATTCCCAAGCAAATAGGGTAGGTTGCATAGCTAGTAATTCACAGTGCTTCTATATGTGTCTGAACTAAGATAAATAAAATAATTACAAAGGGAAAATAGAATGAGAGAAATACAAAAGGTAAACATTTTAGAAGGAAGATTGCATTAGTAACAATGTAAAAAGATAAATAAATAAATTACTGTATCTTCAGCCACCCCAGCATAGCTGCCCCATGAGTTGACAAATGAAAGCAATTAGATAAAGAGATATTCCAACAATTTATCAGTGTCCCTCTGGGCTGAAGCTCTACCATTCATCATGTCAGCCACTTCCCCCAATTTACATTGCACTCATGTTGAGGGAGGTGATTGTCCCCCTCTGCTCTGCCCTTGAGAGGCCCCATTTGGAGTACTGCATCCGAATCTAGGGTCCCCAGCACCAGAAGGATGTTGAGCTGTTAGAATGGGTCCAGAAGAGGGCCACAAAGTTGATCAGAGGGCTGGAGCACTTCTCCTGTGATGAAAGGCTGAGAGAGCTTGGGCCCTTCAGCCTGAAGAAGAGAAGGCTCTGGGGTGACCTTACTGCAGCTTTTCAGTATTTGAAGGGGGCCTATAAAAAACACTGGTAACTTTTTGCTCAGTGGGATAATAACAGGACAAGGGGTTATGGTTTTAAACTAAAAGAGGGGAGATTTAGATTAGGAGAAAATTCTTCACTCAGAGGGTGGTGAGGCACTGGCACAGGTTGCCCAGAGAAGGTGTGGATGCCCCATCCCTGGAGGTGTTGAAGGCCAGGCTGGATGAGGTGCTGGGCAACATCATCTAGTAGGTAGCATCCCTGTCTATGGCAGGAGGGTTGGAACTGGATAGTCTTTAAGGTCCTTTCCAACCCAAGCCGTTCTATGATTCTATGATTCTATGATCATCCAGGTCATTAATAAGGGTTTTGAATAATATGGACCCCAGGATTGACCCCTCATTACAAGACAGCAGTTAACTGTCAAACTGTTGATTGCTATCCTTTGAGACCAATTGTTCATCCACATTTTCAACCTACTCAGCAGTCTGTTCATTATGTTTGAACTTCCTTAGCTTCCAAATGAGAATGCTATAGGAAACACTGATTAAAGTCTTACTGAATCATGTTATATTATATCCACTGCTCCTCCTTCATCTGCATAATCAGTCATTTCCATGTAGAAGGCAATCAGGTTAGTCAATCATGATTTGCACTTAACAAGGCCATCTGACTACTCCTGATTATCTTCTTGACTTTCACGTGCTTGGAAATGTACTGTATTGGGCTGCACAGAGTGCAAGAGGATGTGTCTAACGACCCTACCAGGTGCTGAGGTGAAGCTGATCAACCCACTGCTTCTTCAGTGTTGCTTCTACAATTTTAGAAGAAGGGAACAATATGTCTCTTTTCTATTTATCAGGGATATCTCCTGATCACCATGAATTTTCACTCACAATCACATTGGTGAAATCTTTTATCGCTTTATGAATTTTATCTGGACTTGTGGATCTGAATGAATCCAGCTGCTATAAATAGTCCACAGCCCATAGCTTCCTGATGAGCACCTGTCTCCATTTCAAACCATGTCAATACATGCTGCCTTGGGAGAAGTTTTTGCTTGCAAATCTTAATAGGGTTGGAGGGACATCAAACGCTTCAGCATTTTCTGCACTGTCTGTAACTAGTTGATTCCCCCACATCCATTCATAGACTCATCTGCATTTTTCTTAAATTTTGTTAGGCAACTACCTTTAGAACCTCTTTTTGGTACTTTCTGTTAGTCTCCACACCTTCTGGGCTGTGGCCTTCCTGATATTTTTGGTAGGTACTCTCATGGTGCTTTTATACTCACTTTTTGTTACATGTTTTTCATTCCACCTCATCTAGGTTTAGTCCATTGAATATAGTATTGGCACTGCTAATAACAAGCCATGGGACTTAAGTTTAATTCAGTGCAAAGCATCAAGATTTTCTCACCTTGTTTGGACTTGAATTATTTTAGCTGTATTTAACTAATAGCCCAAGTGCCAACTATTGTTTTATCTGTTTTTCAGCTTAAGTTTTGTGATATCCTGTAGTATTATCCTATAGATATTATAAAATATATGGTAAAAATTTAATAAAATTACGTGATCATTGCAGAACTAAATCTCGGGATCAACAAGAAAGCAAGTGTAGCAATAGTCTTTTGGAAACATAATGATGGTTCTGGAATTTTTATATGGAATTCTCAGGAGATCACTGAGAGGTTTTTTGTTTGTTTGTTCTCAGAAACATAGAACAAACAAAAACGCTGACTTTGGTGAGGTTATAAGAGACAACCGGATGTCTATGAATGGTGTTGAAGGGAGACTTTACATGGTGGTGACTTTATAGAAGGAGTTTATTTCACTAGCAGATAAAAGAACTGCTCTCAATTGTTTTTTTCATGTGTGGTGTTGTTCAATTTTCACAAGTCTTTATATTTCTAATTCATATCTCAGAAGTTGTAATTTATTCAAAAGCATTAATTCATTGCAGCAAATAAACATGAATCTACATTTGTAAAAATTGTGTTTCTTCCCTTTGTCTATGCACCACAAACACCAAATCAGAGCATGACTGTGTAAACCTGGCTTAAAGCGTACATTTGTATAAGTTTGATTTTGCTGAAAGTGGCTGCTGAAAGGTGTACCTTTGATTTTTGTTATATGCATAAGCTAAGAAATGCTTTAGCACTTGTTTTATGATGCTACATATTATGTTGGACCATGTGGAGATTCAGAGAACATTCTAAAGCTCTCTTCTTCACTAAAAGACAAATTTAGTTCTGAGATAGAATCTGGGACTTTGAACTTGATTTCTACACTATTTCTGAAATCTCAGTATGGACAGTGACAATTATATTTGTTAATTCTGGATCTTGTATTATTTCTTGATGCATGTTTAAAATTATTTCTGAAACATACTTGCTTGGAACAAATCAGAAATGTTTTGCTCTTATTAACTTCTTTAACTGTCTGTAATCTGAAAGAAATAATTTGGAAAACACCTGAGGAACAAAACTGAAACAAAACATTAGCTATCTGTCTTAGACATAGAGCTCCCAAAATATACCCCAGGAGACTCGACTCCTATTGCCTAAATGTTACAGTACAGTTCAAAGTAAACAACCAGCTGCATGTATACAGGAGTTTGCATGATGGAAGTGCTCTACTATGAACAGGTTTTAGAGGTTTATGTTCTTCCTCAGCTTCCGCAGCATAGACTATATAGGTTTTCAGGGTGGATGTGAATGATACACAATACTCTTGTTTCCTAGAAATGGAATAAGTCAAATGTAATCATATCCCACCCACAGTTTTATTGCAATGAAAGAGCTTAAGTTCCTCCCCCCACCCAAAACCAATACCATACCTGTTAGCATGACATCTACCAGAACATTTTCAGGAGTTGGATTTTTGAAGGATATGATGACAGAAGAACCCTGGAAAATGCATGCACTCATGCTAGTTGGCTCCATCAAGTGAGGAGGAAGACCAGTCCCCGACAGGTAAAATATCCATTCTATAATCTGTGAATGAAAACTGTGTCATTATTTATTATTAGACCAGTCAGACTTACATATTTTAAGGGAAACTGTCTTCTTCTAGTGCTCTATGTCTCTTTCCCTTGTGAGTGAAGTGCTTTGATTCTTTCTTATTCCCTCAAGCTATTATGTACTCTAAGTATTACTATCTTGGAATCAATAGTTCCACTGTTTAAGGCTTTTCGTATGGGAGTTTGGGAGATGTTCACATCCCCTTTTTGTATGTTACTTTCATGCTACTCAGAGCTCCCAGTGTAGTGAATGCAAAGATGTGGGTGATTGCAAGAAGGCAACTCAAAGCATGTATATTAGAATCTGAAAGGAGATTGAGAAGTCATCTTGCGAAGACACAGAACGAAGGCAAATGATTAATTGATGGGGCAGCAATAAAATCATCAAAGAGATAAAATTGTTACTCCAAAGGCAGGAAAGAACTCTAACAACTATACTGAGAAGAATCAAGAGGACTGGAAAATACTGGTGGATATAGAATATCACCACAGAGCATTAAAAAATAATATACATACAGATAAAATTAAACTGAGGTGTTAATTTTCATCAAATTTTCAGCATGACACTGAAGAGCTGCCTGCCCCAGATTTGCTCTTTCAAGATTATAAAGATTGGTATTAGCAATGCCACTCATGGAACCTTTAAAGGTAAATGGCAAATGTAGATATACTACCATTATTTAAGGAAAATGTTTAATTTGCAGATTCCTGATGCTATCTTTATAGAACTATATAGACTAAAATCTTATTACAAACTTCCCAAAGTGATCCTTTGATCAGTTTTGTTCACTATCATTTAAAAAGTTAAGCACCACAAGGAGAGCAGAAAACTATAAATAAAATCAAGACACTATTTTTGTTATCTTCAATATTGCATTTACTTTTACATAGACTGTCTGAAAAAAATAAGGAACATCTGTAAGAAACAGAGCTTAAAACCTAACAAAACTGGAAATATTGTAAAAGGTGGCTAATCCATTGAGACTTTTCAGTATAAACAGGAATAAATAAAATATCATGTATTCAGAAAATAGCATTGGACAGCAAAATTGCTTGTCATAGAATCACAAGAAGGAATCTAGGAAGGTCATCAAATCCAACCATCAACCTGAACCACCAAGTTCCATAACTAACCTATGTCCCTGAGTGCCACATCCACATGTCTCTTAAATACCTCTAGGGATGGGGACTCAACCAGTTTCCTGGGCGGCCCACTCCAATGCTTAACCACCCTCTCTTTGAATAAATTATTTCTAATGTCCAATTTAAACCTCCGCTGGTGCAACTTGAGACTGATTTGTCAGGTCCTGTCACTTGTTGCCTGAGAAAAGAGGCCATCACCCTGCTCTCTGCCACTTCCTCTCGAGTAGTTGTCGAAAGCTATGAGGTCTCCCCCTCAACCTTGTATTCTCCAAACTAAACAACCCCAGTTCCCTCAATCACTCTTCTAAGTTTAGTTCTCTAATCCCTTCAGCAGCCTCACTGCTCTTCTCTGTACATGCTTGAGCAACTCAATATCCTTCTTGTAGTGAGGGGCCCAAAACTGAACAAAATATTCATGGTGCAGTCTCACTAGTGCACTAGTATCACTAGTGCACTAAGCTTCTCTTTAATACTACTTACTACTATTAAATTCTCTACACTACACCTGAGTGCTAGAGATGCATTAAGAGAATAGAATAAAAGAAATACATTAGGACTCAGTGTGTGGGTTATATTATGGATGATATTTCTGTTCTGCTGTCCCAACAAAGTTAATTTCTGATTTCACAAAGTATGGCACAATTAGAACAAAACTCAGATTCATTTTGTGAAGAACTCTTAATGCAGCTGCAAACCAGGGAAAAAAAAAAAAAAAAAAAGGCAGGTAATTGCACAGAGCAGTTTATCTCAGTTCAGCAAAAAGCATAATCAGAAACTGTAAGTGCTGTCATTAACTGATTTTTTATTAGTCAGCTATTTAGCTATCAGATAGCTTAAGTATCCATTCAGATATATTTAATCAGAGAAATCAAGAGAAAGAGATTGATATTGAGGTATTTTGTAGATAAAAAGTTGTTTGATCCATCATTGACAAGAAACATTATTTAAGTCTTCATTAATAATGTCAGTTATACCTTTGCAAATATTCACTGACAGTTACCAGTATAACAATTAGCAAGCAAAAGTAGTCTGGGATGAAATTAGTAGGACTGTAGCAGTATAAAATGAATGGAAATGTACAAAATTCAAAAGACTCAGGCATAAAAAGAGCACTCAAAATTACAAAGGTTATACCAATATATTGAAAAGGTTAAATGGGTCTGGATGAAGCAACTAGAAGGATGCAATACTAACTGAATTTTATTGCAGATAAGAAAATGGGATTTGCAATTATTTGAAAGGACATGCACAGAATGACAAAATTCAGGTGATAGGGCTCAATTTGTTCCTGAAATTTTTAAATGAATTATTTGAATGTTTCATTGATTCTGTATTTGGTGACGAATTATTATTTTTTAATATAGAGATACAACTTCTATGTACCATTATTATTATTCAGACAAGACAATGGCATTCTGTTCTCTTGAACTGCTGTGGGGCATACACTATTCACATGGCAATTGCTGGTGTCTTGTTTTTATACTTATTAAGTATTTAAGAGGAGATATCCTGAAAATAACTGCTGTGCTAACACCACCTACAAATTATCTGTCTTTTAGAAATACTGTAATGTGAAAGAAATTGCTACATTAATTCCTTCACTATTTCTTTTCTTCACATAAAATAATATTTGTTTTTGCAGTGTTACTTAAAACACTACTGAAAACTTCTGGTAGCCCTCAATTGGAATAATTCATGGGTCAGTAATCTATTAATGTATCTGAGTGACCAAAAAGAATAAAGAGAGGAAACTGCATGGAAAGGAAATAATTCACTCAACCAGAGCTTGTGTGAAGAAATACTGACATTTACATCATATTATCAGTTTTTCTTTTGTTTCCAGATGCAATTTTCAGTCATCTAGTAGGTCACGCTGATGACTTTATTCTTCATTTAGGTGTTCTTCATTAAAAATTGGGAAAATTCAAAGACAAATACAAAAAAAGTCAACTATTCTAAAATCTCAAAGTAAAAACCATTTTTAATTAAACTGAAGAAGTAACTTTTCCAAGTAAACAACCTTTCAAAGTTCAGATCAGAATAAAACAATTCAAAATTTTGGAAAAACTTCAAGAAATTAAACTTCAGAGGAGACAATGCTAAGAAATGCTAGTGTTATGGTATTAAAAACACCAGAACTGCCTGATTACTAAGAAAACTAAAGGTATTTATTACATATTCTAGCTCCTAGTCCATTACCTCAAATATTAAAATAGCAAATAGGACATATTTACATTTGCTCTTTAATTATGTATCCAGCAATTAAATTTCAACTTGACCTTTATCCTGAAACCCTTATATGCCTATTAAAAACATTATCCAATCCAAATGTATTGTGGACAGTAAATATAGTACCATACCTGTGAACATTTGAAGGTTATCGATGCCTTGTGATTTCCTTTTCCAAGGACAGATGGACAGAATTGCACGGGTACTTCAGTGGTGGAATGAGGTGCAACAATCAGCTGTAAAATGCAAGAAAGATGCAAAGGAATGAGAGGGTGGAAAAAAGGATTTTTTTTTTTTTTTTAGTCAGTTTCTGTTTTGTGCTCTGTATCGACAGTGTTGATGTTTATGTAATTAATCTGTTCCATCTGATACATTCTCTACTCTCAACATCCATTGGCTGCTAAGGCAGCAAGTGTACTGCAGTAAACAATCTTTGTAGAAGTCACTGCACGTTTGTCTTTTTCCTAGAAACTGCAGAGCTGGTGTTACTGATTGCTCCAAGGACAGGGGCAGCAGCTCTCACAAATACCAGTTGAAGATGGCTTTGGTGTCTGAGCATACTGATGATGATAAAAAGTTATCACTCTGACCTCCAAAAACAAACTGTCTTATAGGTCAAATACATGGCAAGTTTAATAAACTAGTGCTTTGCCTCTTTTCCTCTTACCTTTATCTAAACTAACATTGTAAATGATGTTCCTAGTTTTCTCTTCTGAAGTACACTACTTGACTCCCAATTACACATGGAAAAGCAAAGTAGCTGACTACAGTGAGGTCATAGATACTTTGATGAACTAGATAAGCAGTGAAAGAATAGACTTGTGAATAATTTATATGTTGACAAATTCACAACTTCTGTGCTTATTTTTTGTAACAACATAAAAAAAAAACACAACACAAAAACTAGTGGGCTTTTAATATTATACATATGTTTAAATATTTATGTGTAAGATGATATAAAAGATGAGTGATTGGAATTATGGACACTGGCTGTGTTTTATAAAATGAATATAACTAACAATTAATAAAGGTCAAATTGTTATTTTTCTCTTTGGAAGGACATGCTTTTAAATAATTTATCTGTTTTAAAATAACTAATTATAATGGATTTTTAGTTTGAAGTCATTAAATATTTGGAGAGCAAGAGTAGGAGAAGGAGTAATGTATATATAAATATGTCTTTTTGCCATAATTTTACATTTTCCACTGCATGAAAATGAGCATTTCTGGAACTGTAAGTCAATGCATCTCACAGAGAGTATGATGTTCACTACTTTGAGCCCAATCCCACTCCACTGTCACAGAACCTGCACTTCCCATACAGGGAGCTCAGTCTCACCCACAAATCATAAAATCTCATACATCCTGCAGGTTGGTGATAATTTGAAAATGCATTGCCACCAGTTTCCACCATTCTCTCCCTGTCACCTTTGCAAGTCTTTTGTATTACCCAAAATAACAGTCTGGAAAGGAAAGACACCTCCTACAAACCATCCCTGTTCCCGTCTGCCCCGCCAAAGGAAGGAAGGGGGGCCCAGGATTCAGTTAGCTGCTCATCATCTGAAAGGATCCTGAACAGCTCATTTTGTAGTCAGTTTCAGTGCCTGCTCAATATCCAAAGACCTTTTTGCCTCACCTAACCAGCCATATTTATCAAATGCAAAATTATAAAAGGAGAAAGAACACTAATGAGTACCCTTTCCCAAATACTTTTGAAGAAAATTAAAAAACAAGGTAATGACAGGTTGTCACAGAATAACAATACATGATTAAGATAATACTGTAATTTTTAAACAGTAATTTCACTAAGAGATGTGTATTATTTGGAATAATAAATCTATAAAGATGAAAACAGACTGGAATTCCATTTTCAATATAAATATGCATTATTTGACATATTATCATTATAAAGAAAATGCACTGCCAAAATGAATCTAAATAATCAACACATTGGAGTTATGATCATCCAGCAGACTACCTGCTTTGAAAGCAGAAAAGATCTTTATTTCTTATGTTATAGGTGTTTCAAAGAAATTGTTTTATATTACACAGCATAATGTCTTACTGTATCAAGAAAGCAATTTGATTTCAAATGAACAGATGGGTTAAAAAAAAAAAAAAAGGAACTTTCTACTAAAAAATGCAGAAATACAGAGTAAATTGATTTAAAATATAGAATTGAGAAATAACGTTAACAACATACATGTATTAGTGTTAACATGTTTAAAGAAGGCCATACTTTGAAACATTCATCCAATCAAATATGCTGAAATTATCCCATCCCCTGACTTCCATTTTGTTTACACAAACAAGTGTCTGCTAAGATACTCCTGTGAAAGGGAACTGATATCAGTGTTCTTCATAATATCTCAGATGCAACTGTTCAAATACAGAAACTGAACTGGCAAAAATGAGCAACTGTGCATGCAATATTCCTGCTATAAATCCAGTAAAGGAAGAGAATTTTCCTTACATATAAAAGTTAATTCTCTACTCAACAAAACAATGCTCCCAGTCACTAACAAACTAATAAGGCTTGCATGTAGAAACTTTGAGACTGCACTCTTCTCTGCCAGCCCTCCTTTATCAAGCTACTTTTCGTCAATAAAAATTGTGTTTCATAGCTGATCAGGATAAAAGCCAGTATTCTCAAGAACTTTATGCAAAGGTTTTAGGTTAGTCATATTAGCAAAATGGCAAGCCAAAGACTTACAGCAAAAGTATATTTGGTTTTGGCAATGTAGATATTCACAGTTGTAGGAGTTCTTTATACATTTACGTTACATAAGAAATATGTGTGCATAAATATAATATACATCCATGTAAAATTGATTTGCACATATTCATAAATACATAGAGAAAAGTAAGTTGATGCACATGAATCCTTCTCCTCTAGACAGAGAAGATAGATGCGGTTAGAAAAGAAACCCCAAAACCAACAACTCAATGACAGTTTCTCTAGAAATTCAAAATGGCTAATAATTAGAAACAAGGTAAGAAGTTTTCTGCAAATGTATGGGAGTTCACTCACTGAACTATACAGAGTATAGCTGACAGGAAGGGGGAGGAAATAAAAATATATATATATATATATATTTATATACACACTTTTTTTAGACAATCAGGATGCTATATTGCACTTAAAGCTTTTTAAGTTTTAATTGCAAAGCCATTGCTAAAAAGATACCTTTTTTCTTTTCCTTTTTTTTTTTTTTTTTTCAGATTCATCAATTTACAAAGAAGTTAGTGGAGCTGCTTCTAATTTACATTCAGCTGATGAGAGACCAAAAGCTTTCAAATTTCATTTAGACTTCATTAAGCACCCAGAAGTTCAGGAATATTTGAGCATAATTCATCTGGACCTCAGGAAAACCTGTTATTAATGAAGTCAGTACTTGAAATTGAATCCGATTTATAGAAATAATCCCTTGTGGTATTTCAGTAAAGCATTCTGTTTCAGGCTGAAACTAAAAAGGCAGAGACACACATGGAAGTGTGATAAATACGGTATTCAAATTTGTTTAAATGCTAAATATGAGTCAAAATATGGTTAATATTTTAGACAACTCTAGAAAAGATAAAATTTTCTCTTCACTTCTTTTGAATTTGGTTCATCTAATATAGCTTAGGAGCTGATGATATCATTTTGAAATATTTCCTGTTAGCCCAGTCTCCATCACAGATGACATAACAATAAATATGAAGAATTATATGAAACACTAAAAGGTACTGATTTAGAATATGTAAAATTCTAAAATTACTCATTCTCTTCACAAATTATCTATTGGAAAATCCCATCTTTCATCTATTCTTCTAACAATTTGCTTTTTATGGCTGTGCTTCAACTGAGGGTCCCTGTAATTAGCTTAGCCTCAGAAATTTTCTGTTGACAATTAAGCAAATTTGCTTTAAAGAAAGATGGAAACTTGAATAATTAAGATAGGAAACTTCTTCCACGTATCACAAAGAAGTTGACACATGACCAAAAGTAAAAAGATCCACATACTATGATCTATTTATGCATTTATATAAATAAATAAATAAACTGAAACACAGGTTACAGTTCATAAGAAAAAGCAATAATCATTGGGAAGTTCGATGCAGTGCTGTATGGAGGGACTAAACCTAGGATGCAACATATTCAGGGGAGGAAGGAGATATTTAAAGCCCACCCTCTGCCTTTGTCATCAAAACTGTGAAAGAGATCATAATAGCTCTCCAAACATGGATATGCAATGGAATAAAACAAGGTAAAAAAGACAGATACACAGAATAAATATTAGATAGCTGCTTGGAGCTAGTTGTCAAAAGATATTCTTTAAATGGAAGAACTGTAATTCACAAACAACATTTCAGAATTCAATGCATAAACTATATTTATGACTGAATAAAGTCCTAAATATGACCTTCATAAATATGAAAATTCTATTTATTATGAAAGAAATAAATAAAGAAAATTACTGTAGTTAGTGTTGTATGTGCCTTTTCTTAAACAATGTAATGTAGTTGTTGGTGATATGTAAATCTCTGGTAATAAATTGAGAAAGCTGAATGTGGAAGACATCATTTTTTAATTTCCTGAACAAGGTCACATGCAATCTGAAAGAATCAAAAGTCACTATAATTAAATTTAATCCACTTATGTGCAAATGACCTAAACGTGACATGTATAATACTCCTACTTGATTAATACAGTTCTCATCCATTATGTTTCTTAGCTCTGACTTCAAATGCCAATTGATGAAATGATTAGTAATATCACTTGACAAGTTTAACGTAATGTATGAAGATGCGTTAATATGCATGATGTAAAAGATGGAGCAAAATAAACACTTCACGTTTTATAAATTTATTTTAATGCAATATCATGTACTATTTTCTATGCAAAATATAGGACAATTCAACGTATGATCACCTTTAGCTGTAATCTATAAATCCCATTTTAAGAAAATTTGGTCCAGTTGTACTACTATATTTGAGGTTGAAAGCCAAAAATACACATATTACAACTTTATAGTGTTACTCTATTTCTCCCATACAATCCATTAGATTCTCAGCTTTATTTCAGGACCTTATTACAATAATCTTCTGTGATTTCTGTGATCTTTATGCTAGTTTGCACAAATAAACCAGCTCTTGTATATGTCCTCCCTGTATCATCTTCCTTAAAGATAGAATACTTATATCTAGAAAAGGTGTAATTGCATTTCTTTCTCTTCCAAAGCAGGTTCCTTCATTTTCCTTTTTCACAGAGGTTCTATATGCATACTCAGTAAGAGGTTCTCCATATTCCCTTTCATAAGAGTTTCCACTCATCTGTCCTCCCTTTTCTAATCTCCCCATCATAAAAATGACATATATTTAATATAATTAATTATTAATAACATTCAAAGAGTTATTTGAAGGACCTTTATTTTTCTTCTGGATTACTCATTACTTTATACTTTCCTTCTTTCTGGGAGATAAGTGTTTTATGAACATGTTGCATCCTATTGAGAAGAGGGGCACAGATAAAATAGCTCTGTGCTCCTCCAGAACCTGTAGCCTTCCGTTAACTAATTCTCTTTATAAATGACAAAGATGTCTGAAACTGCATCTGAGGGAAAAAAAAAAAAAAAAAAAAAAAAAAAAAAGTCCCTCGTCCTTTTTCTTCTATGTTTAGTTTTTCCACATACATGGTAAAATTACCAGTTCCTACTAACCTGTAATCAGTGGTCAATAATTAATTTTCAAGCTTTAGGGTCCTTACCACCTAGAATTCTAGTCAGTCTCGATGAAAATATGAAAATTTAGTCTATCTATTCAGTCCATCCTCTTAGTTATTCCTTGAAGGGACAAAGATGTTAAGCAACAAGAAGGAAGAGCTTTTGTAATGGAGTAGGAAAATGTACATAATAGTTATAGGCTGAAGATTTTCTCAGTAGAAAACAGTCTTAGGGTAAATCTGAGTTTAGAGAATAAAATGATTCCAGATATTTGCTTGAAGCTGGGTTAAACTAATCAAATCCTTATTCAGAGATCCTGCAAGATGGCTATAACTACCACAGCTATGCGATATTCTTAAATGTCTTATTTTACATTAGCATTTTACCTGCTTACGTAAATATTTATCCTGTTGATTCTTAAAAACCTGGAAAGCTTATAATACAGTTGATTTTTTTACAATATCTCTTTCAAATACCTCTTGGATATTATTTGAAAATGACACTGCAGTATTCCTCAAAACCATTCTACAAAGCATTCCAGGGGAAAAAAAAAAAAAAAAGAAAAAAAAAGAAATATCTATACAACTCGAATGTTTTAAGTTTAATTGTCTTCATCCGTAAGCTATCAAATCTCTAGAATACATTATCTATATCGCCTCTAACCCTTGAGATTATGATGTGTATGCTAAATCTAAGGTATGATAAACAATTCAACATATTTTGAAGAAAAAGTTTTCTTGTATTACTTTTGTGAAAGCACAAAAATCTTTTCAGATATTTTTTCTAGTCTACTTACAGGATGTTTTGGATCAGTCTCAGTTGAAAAATTGCTAGGATTGCTGTTAGCAATTTCTAATTCCAAAGTTTCATGTGTAGGATTAAAAAGAGGAATGTGTAGACGAACCCATCTGCAAAAAATACAATTTGTATATAAAAAATACAATAGTAATTGTATACAATTACTATTACTGATTATATATCTTCTTCCACTGAATTCTATTATAAATCACTCATTCTCTTCTTTTGAAAAATAAGTACCTTTAAAAATAAAAATTATTACTAGTAGTATTTTACCGCTAGTATGGACATACATTTCATATAATTAGTTATTAATACCAGAAAAACTAGTAGCAATAACCATTCCAATATTTGGCTGTGCCTCACTCAACTTCAGTTTCCAGGAAGTTAGTTAAAGTTAGTTGGTTAAAGGGGCTGTCCAGCTCCCTCAATGGTCAGTCATCTGGGAGAAAAACATTTTCAGGGATACTGGTCACAACCTAATATAAGTCACTAGGATGTGGAATCACTTTTCACTGACTACAGAAGAAACCTAGATTTAGCACCTTAAACTTGATGTCCAACTTTTAGATAGAAAGATGCAGAAATGAATCCCGCTGCCTCCACTACCACAGCTTCACATTTATTCCAAGGCTCAGATTTGCACATTTATTTATAACTTTCGTACTTAATTTCTGTAGCTCTAACTTTGGAATAAAACATTTTACTCAAATGAATAATTCACAGTTCCAAGGCTACCAGAAAAAAAAAATTAAATCAAATCATTGTATGTGTTATTAATATGTAGCATATACGTGGACTCATAGACTGCTTCATAAAAATGCTTTGGACAGAAATTAAAAGTAATCAAATTATGATTCCCATAACTCTTTTTTATGTCAGCAATGGCTTACAGAAGATGCTTGTAATTCAGTGATACTGTCAATAGCTTTTGATTTACTGCCATTAGGCAATCATCATTCTTGGTCATATTTTAACCTTGGGATCTCAAAACAAACTTACCATTCCACAATAGCTACTTGAATGGAGGTGCTACCTGCTTCCCTTCTCTTTCTTCTGCATGACCTTAAAATCCGTCTCATTTCATAGAACCGTTGCATTGTCATTTCAGCATAATGACAAATTAGTTACATATAAAATCATAAAATCACAGAATGGCTTGGGTTGGAAGAAACCTTCAAGATCATCCAGTTCAAACCCCCCTGCCATGGACAGGGATGATCAGGTTGTTCAGGGCCTCATCCAATCTGGTCTTGAACACCTCCAGGAATGGGGCATCCACAGCTTCTCTGGGCAACCTATTTCAGTGTCTCACCACCTTTTGAGTGAAGAATTTCTTCCATGTATATAATCTAAATCTACCCTGTTTTAGTTTAAAACCTTGTCCTGTCACTGCACTCCCTGGTGGAGCGTCCCTCCCCAGATTTCCTGTAGGCCCCTTTTAGGTACTGGAAGGCTGCAATACCGTCTCCCTGGAGCCTCTCTTCTCCAGATTGAACAACCCCAATTGTCCCAGTCTCTCTTCACAGGAGAGGTGCTCCAGCCCTTTGATCGTTTTTGTGGTCCTCCTCTGGACTGACTCCAACAGGTCCACGCCCCTCTTTTGCTGGGGGTCCCAGAGCTGAATGTAGTACCCCACATGGGATCTCATTTTTGAGAAACAGGTTTATGTTTGTCCTCTTCCAGTCAGTGGGAACTTCACTGGACAGCCACAACTTCTCAGATATAATGGACAGTGTCTTAGCAACTTCACCCGTTCCCTCAAGACCTGCAGATGCATCTCATCAGGTCCCATGGACTTCAGGTTCCTTAGGTGGTCTAGAACCTTATCTTCTACACTGGGTGGTTCTTAATTCTCATAGTCTCTGCTTTTGCTTTCTGGGACTTGAGCTATGTGGCTAGAGCTCTTGCCAGTAAATTTATACATGTAGAATATGTGTTTTATGAGGTTTGTATGTTTGAATTTTGTGGCTGTACCAAAACAAATATTGCAGTATGCTTATTGTGTTAATGTTATGTTTTAAACCAGCTGGCATTCTATCTTACAGGCATTCCTTTATTTTCTAATTCATAGAATCATAGAATCATAGTATCATTAGGGTTGGAAAAGAATTCCAAGATCATCTGGTCCAACCATCACCCTACTACCAATTAAAGAATAAACAAACACAGGATACTTTCAATAGGATGCAAAGTCATAAAATTCCCAAAGTTTCCTTTATTTGCCTTTAAAAAAAGATATTTGACCATAAGTCACATTCTGGTTATAACACCAAGGAACATGGAAAAGAGATTGAAGGTGAAAACAGTAAATAAGAAAAGTGTGAAAAATGAGATACATATGTTGGTTTTGCAGTAATTTATCTACCTAATGGACATTCTCTCTAGTCAAAGCTGTGACAGGTCAACTGCCAGACTGCTCCACATATTTATCCTCCGGAATAAATAATCATAGCCAAATTAGTCAGGGAAGAAATATAAGAAGCAGCATTCAAAAGAGAAAGCATTTCAGTCAAGCTTTATAATTGTAACTTCAGGCCCTAAAACTTGTTGTGTGCAGGTGGCCTCCTTACAATATAAACAGTAATGCATTGCTGCCCATGGTGTTCTTGACAACTTTAAGATATGAATCCTCAGCAGGTAAGTGACAGATTTGTTTTGGTATAACACTATCAATATATTAGAGATTGCAACAGCAGAGTGTACAAAAATACCAGGAAAATGTCACACAAAAACTTCAGATTCACTTGTTATTTCCTTTTTTTTTTTTTCCCCATTTAATTACCACCTCTAGCCTTTTTTTTTTTTTTTTTGGTCTGGTCTACTTTATAAATAATACTTCATTGGCCAAAAGGAAAGCCATCTTGGAATATCTGAAACTTCAGTAAGCAGCTATTTGACTGGTAGAGGTTCTTCAACTGATAAAAACTGATTAAGAACCTATGCCACCCCACATGGTGACTACGGTGATTATGCTAAGAAAAAGTTGTTGCATAATACAGTAAAGTCACGACCACTGTGAATATCATTCAACTGACTGTCATCTTCAATGACTACTCTTTGGAGCCCATAACAAGATGAATAAATGAAGACGGAGAATATCAAGCAGAAGTCTTCCCTGCTCAAAGGCATATGCTAAAGAACATGCTAAATCTAACCTGACAGAAACAAAAAGCAGATCTGAATGCAATAAATCCAGAATGTTAGGGTATCTGAAGGAAACCTAAAAGACAAACTGCTAGAATTTTTCCTTTCTTCTTCAAGAATTGTTTAGAAATTGATACTAAGAGTCACAGATCTTTGCTCCTAATCCAGTTCCAAGTGATGTTTTAATGGACACTTATTCTTTATTTTTTCAGATTGATAGCGAAAAAAAATACAGTGAGCACATAAAGAAAAAAATATATATATTATTAGAAGGATGTTTGAATAGGATAATGCCTCTTCAGTATTCAGGCAAAAGGTAGTGGAAGTTAAGTCTCTTAAAGAAGAAGAAATCTCCATGAACCAGTAGGATTTCAGGCATTTTATGACATTTACAGTCCACAATCCCTGTCTCTAGGAAAATGCCAAGGAAGTACACCCATCCAAAACAAAACAAGTGGGTACCTTTATTAAGCAGACAATATGTGAAGATCTAGTTTCTTTTGTACCAAGTCTACTTCCAAGCTTGACTTCTACATGAATTACTTTTATATATTCAACATATACTAATGCAGCCAATTTACTTGGATAATCTCATCAGCTCACAATTTACTATTTATTATCTTTTCAGACAGTAAAGCAAATCACAGTAATTTGACTGTAACATCAATGACATTGTCAAATGCCATTGTCCAATATTTTGCTTTTTGAGAAAAGACAATATGCTGATGACACAACAGAAATAAATTTCTGAAAAAAAATAAAAGAAAGATCATTGAAAGAATTAACTCAACCAAAACCCTGAAAAATTATGAAACCAAGAATGTGTCAGATGATGGAAACAGAAAAAGGTTGCCAATTTTGTTTTATTGTTTTATGATATACATGTAAAAGCATATGTGAAAAGATAACTGTTAATGTGCTTTTATACATTACTGCTATTGCTGCTGTTTTTAATAATTAAACCAAGAAGAACTTTTTGCTCTTCCACTGCTATCTGCCCAGGGCAAATGTAGATTAGTTAATTTACATAGGATTTACAACATGTCTACTTGTAAACTGAAAAGAAATATCCTTTGAAACAATAAAGCATGAAATTCAGATGAATTTTAGATGACTTTTTTGACATGCAAGTGTTTTAGTTAATGAAGTCTACAAACTTCAACATACATTCTTTTTGCAGTAGGAAAGGATGACTTGCCATTCTTGGCCATACTACGTGTGTATGGAGTTCATAGTGCATGCTAAAGAAAATTATGAAAGACAAAGAGAATGAGAAGGTTATAAATTAATTTTAATTCCTAATGGTTCCAGCCTACATAGTAACGAATAATCGTGGTTTTTTACTCAAAAAAAAAAAAATGGAGATGGATAGCCCTACTGATTTTCTGGTAAAAACATAATAAAAAAGGCATTGCCAGCTAATTCTGGTCTTTGTATCATATATGAATAGTAAAATAAATGAAAGCTGAAATTTCTATAGTTGATCATCTTCATGGAAAATAATAATAATAAAGCATTTTTTAAAAGACTTAAAATCCCTGAAATACAGAAAGTTATTAAAATACATGACATGCAGTCATTTTCTGATTTCATTCATCTTATATATCCACCCACAAAAATGTAATCAGGTAAAAAATCATGTTGTAGTCTCTCAGAACATTTTTAGCTCCATCAGTAATGTACACTTATTACAGATTCAGTCGAGATAAGATATACAGAAGAACGTAACATTCAGGAGATCAGTGTGTCCAGAGAACTTAGTGCTAAGCAGAGATAATAGATGGAAGAGCACTACTGAAATTCTGGCATTCTTGAAAGTCATATCCCAAAAGTTTTGATGTTTGTCTTGAAAGCCAGCACTGCAAATGATGTTATCAAACTGAAAGATGAAATGTTGTTTAAGAAAAACATTAATTGAGTTTATTTCTGTGTGTGCTCCAAGGAGTAGCCTATTTTCTTAACATTTGCAGTGCTCCATCCCCTGGATCTGCAGGACAGAAATTGTGTTAATTTGCCTTTTCTCTAGTGTTTAAAAGAAATTGAGAACTGGTATACAAGCATTTGTAAAGGAGGACTATTGGGTATACTCCTTTTTCAGAAAGAGTAAAGAAAATTAAACAAACTTACAGAACTCTGTATTTACTTATATTTATGATTACATTCTGCACTATTTTCTAAGTGATATCTACATAGAGAATTCACAGGAAGTCAAAATATATGCTGTAATTCCATTTCAGTTGTTCTGCAAGGAGAATTTCACCTATTTATGTGTATACCTCATCACTCTTTAACTGAATGGAGGTTATAGTGAGGTGGGTGTCTTTCTCCTTTTTCAGGTGACAACTGATAGGATGAGAGGAAATGGCCTCAAGTTGCATCAGGGGAGGTTTAGATTAGATGTCAGGAAGAATTTTTTAACAAAGAGAGTGATTATGCATTGGAACACGCTGCTCAGGGTGGAGTTGCCATCCCTGGAGGCATTTAACAGACATGTGGATGTGGTGCTTAGGGACTTGGTTTAGTTGGTAGTGTTACATGATGGTAGAACTCGATGATCTTAAGGGTCTTATCCAACCTAAATGCTTCCATGATTCTACATATGAAAATTATCTGCAAACTAGTATAGTATATATACAGCACTATTCTGTTTTTTTTTTTTATATACTCTTCAATATATTTCCCATGATGCATTCAAATGGGTGACCACATTAAGTGCAATGAACTCCATACTTACTTCCCAAGCTCACATTCTATTTCAGGCAGACTAGTCGGCAATGGTTTCTCTACAGTCAGCTTCAGTGCATACCAAAACTCTCCAACCATGTCTGACAGGAATATGACACTAAAAACAGATACATAAACTTGTTATGACATAGATTTTATATATACAATTGAAAACGCAGAGACAAAAATCCAGGAAAACTCAACAAGTTCAAAACAATGAGTTCTTTAATTAGCTACCAGCTTTACCATCACACTTCTCACTGGTATCTGAATTCAGCTACCAAGAAGCAATACTATTCACAATTACAAATACAAAAAATGTCTTAATCTTTCATAGCTTTATAGCATGAAAGGTATTTTTCTTTTTCAAAAGTACAGTTCAAAAAAATTTCAACTGTTAACTTACAAAAATAAGCTTTAATTTCATTTTAATGTTTGAGTGTTTTCTTTCTAGCCATTTTGTACTCAAAAAGACAAAGAAATAGAAATAGTATTCAATTATTTTAAGAAGGAAAATCTTTCCAAATCTACTGATTAAAAATAAGAAATAGATATAGACACATTAAATAAGCATGAAAAAGAGAGGTGTTTCAAAGGAATATTCAGTATACTGTTTCGATATACAATCAAATGTCAAGACTAAAAATTGTTTGCTGCTTGGTGAGATATATACAGCACTATATTTCTGTGACAGACGTTCTTACACATTCCATTCCTACTACAAACTTTTTTTCTATTTCTTGGTTGTATTTTATTTTATTTTTTGTTGTTTTTCAGTAGCAATCATAAAAATGTTAAACGAAAGGATAGTAGGCATATTAAAACCTATATGCAATACACCGTGAAAATCCATGACACATTAAGGACCAGCTCTTGTTCTAAATGAGTGAGAACTTTGTCTATTCCATGACTCCATGTTCCCAGACTGTCCTCTGCACCAGCAGACCCTTTAAAGTGAGCATAAACTAGCTTTGGAAAGAATCATCCAGTTGTAACAGGACAGCTGCCACAAACACTTTTGTAAAGCTCTTCCCAGCTGTTACCATAGCAAGGGAAATGGAGCATGGCTACATAAATAAATAAATAAATAAATAAATAAATAAAGTGGCTGTGTGTGGAAGTACGTTTGTCCAGCAATAATTGTAGCCCTTGGGAGATGCTGGAATTTAAAGCAACTATTAGCTTTCTAATAAACAGCATAATTTTATTGAACATATACAGGTGTGTATCATGTCATCTTTGCATGACATCTAGCCCAAAGTTTCATCAATTAAAACAAACCTTAATCTTATTATTTGGAAATTCTGCACTTGAAAAATACTAGAAATAATGTGTAGCATGAAAACCTGGAGTCTATGCACCTTCAGAATACTTTTCTTTCTACAACTTCCCTCAGGGGAAAAATTACAAGGAAGACAGTAGTCATTTTTATAAAATGGTATTGCTTGAAAGTTGTATTGGGTGATGATACCTGACATTATCCTGGTCTTTGAAAAAATCAACAGAATCAAATTGAACACAGATATTGAAATACATGGATTTGGTCTTTGTAGGTATCATGTCTGTGAACACAGACTGTCTCTCTCCCTCCTCAAAAACCCTCTCTTCCCACCCCACAATCACTATATTTTCACCAATTATTTAATACAGTTGGAAAAAAAATTACAATCAGTCCTTCAAATAAACTATGGTTTAATAATCAAATTCCAGGAAAAAAAGCTTTACAATTCTGCACTCTTCAGCTATTTGTTGAACTCATCTAGTTGAAACTAAGACCAAGAGGTCATCTGTCTTTGTATTCATAATTATCATATGGTACGGTCTCTTTTGGATTTCCAACCTAATAAAACATTTTAATTTAAAACTTCCACATATTCATTAAATACATCATTAATGCATCATACTAATTAATGGAAGATTCTGAAGCTAAATGGATATACACGAAGACTTTTCAGATGAACAGTTCTTAACCTGTTTTTGGTTGTGTTGCTACAGTTTAGTTCCTCCCGAGAAGAAAATGAAATCATATTATTCCCTTTGCGGAATTTATAAAATTACAAAATTAACAATTTGTCCAAATATTTCAGAGGGAACTTCTAACATTAAGTAAATATCTAAAACATTGTTCAATGAATTCTAGAGAACTAGAATAACTAGGGGTTATGCCTGTAAGTCCAGATTTTCCCGTCAGAGGCAGGTTGCTGTTCAGGATACAGTACTACTTCCCCTTGATCTACATCAAGGTTTTAATGAAAATAGTTCACTTATTAGTACAAGAGCCACAACAACCACAAGTATAAAAACTCTGTAATTTACCTTTCGTCTGAAGTGCCAACAACAGCTGAAGAAAACTTTAGTTGATAAAAAAATGTTTGTTTAGGTGAAAGAGTGAAAGACTTTTGTCCAGAAAGTGACTGATTCTCCAACACCACACTTAGCTGGAGAATTTCGTCTGTAGGATTCGTGATAGGAATATTAATTCCAACAGTATTCTAAGAAGAAAAAATATATATAATATAACATTAAAAAAAAACAAAAACACACATTATACATAAAAGATACTTCTCAAACAAGTATAGGATGCTGATATATGATTTTTCCTTATGCAAAAACAGGTTACACTTCATGTGCATGAACTTCATGTTCATATCTGAACAAACCCAAAAAAGAGAAGTTGTAGTAAGACCCAATTCAGCCAATGTTTCAATTGTAGACTCTTTAATTGCATAGAGTCCTAGTCTTCCTAGACAGTCTGCATTTCAACAAGCTACTTTGCCTTCCAGGATATGGTTGAGGCTTGCCAAAATACACCTTTGCATGCAGATCTGCTGTCGTCCCAACACGGCACATCTTCCAAGTCAACTCTCATCAGCCAAGCACAGCCATTTGAAAATATCCATTTTGCAAGCTAGCTAACACCAATGCAGGATCTGTTAATCTTGATGTAACTTAATAAGATTAAGTTACATCATAATAGTTAGTATTAGAGTAGCAACACAGTAAACATTCCCTCTCTCATTTCTTTTTACCGTTTTTTATTAACAGTGGTCCCTGTATCTTTCTTAAGTCTACTGAAAATTCAGGCAAGGACTATCTTATCTTGACTATCTGGAAAATGTAGCTGCTCTTAAAGACCCATATAAAATTCCCATTATTGTCATACAAAGGCATCTGTATGGCCTAATTAGAGAAATACATGAATACTTTTTACTTTGAGCATGTTTAAGATGAGCAGCAATTGGGCAGAGACAGCTCAATCCACACAGCTGCTACATTGCATTCACAAGCTGCTTTTGAACTTGCTATATTTCGTCAGTGTTCCAGTAATTCTCTTCTTTATTTTAAGGTTATAAATAGTGTACATCTACCCTATGTACCTTACATGTATAAATATCAACACGCTTTATGAAACTAACCACTTTAAACCGACAGAAAGGAATATACTATTGAAGGAAGACTGCTATCACAATTCAGGATACAAACCTGCTGTTTTTAAAAATATATATGTTCTATTTATATATGTTCATCTGTATAAAATATGCACAATCCAAAACCAATATATGTGTATATTTCTCTGTATCTATATTTATATCTATTCCTATCTTTGTCTCTTTCCTCTGTTCTGACAAAGAAGCTTATTTCAAAACGCTTTTTGTGTATTGGGGGGGTATTTTTTCTACATATGATGATTTACTTCTTACAGAAAAAAATTGACATATATATTCTTTTAAAAGTAAATAAATAGAACTGCAACATGAAAGGAGAAAAAGATACAGTTAAAAATACTAATACACTAAAAACTGAGCATGAAATACTTTACAACCCCTCACACAGCTGTCTCGCTCTGGTTTGAGCCTGCCTATGGTTTGGTAATTTCCTATATATTTACATTTATAGAAAATGATTACACGAACACACATAAAATACATTTAATGTTCCACAGATGGTGAGATTACACCCACAGTTTAAATCATTCAAGTGCCTTGCATCAGTAAGATGGGATTTAAATTTGCAGTAAAATATTTTAAAGCTCAGATTAATATTTTTTATTAGTGTAAACAAAATTCTAAATCTATCTACAATTTTATTGCTAAAAGGTTCATAATAATTGTATAGTAAAACACCTGTACTGTTTTGACAAAATACTTTTCCAGTAGAAAGAAAACATTGAGCTGCTTATTTAGGAGAAAAACACCTGCTATCAAATAAATAAATAAATAAATAAATAAACAGCCTTGTTTGCAAAGATTTTATATTGCCCACATCAGCTTAATGGAAAGTAGTGCTCACTTGCCAGTATTAAAAAATTGCCTAGGGTTATGTATTTCCCTGAATTCACAGAATCACAGAATGGCTGAGATTGACAGGGACCTCTGAAGATCATCTGGTCCAACTCCCCTGCCAAGCAGGATCACCTATAGCATGTTGTGCAGGATGACATCCAGGTGAGTTTTGAATATCTCCAGAGAAGGAGATTCCACAACCTCTCTGGGCAACTTCATCCAGTGCTCTGCCACCCTCACAGCAAAGAAGTTCTCCCTCAAAGAATTTCTCAGGAAAATTGCTTGGAATTCTTGTAAATGTTTCACAAATTTGCCATGGCATGGATGGTGATAAGAGTACATGTGTATGTGTCAACATAATGCATATATACTGTATATTTTCAGGCCCTAGTGGTTTCTTTCAAATTCTTGTTATGGAGGCATAATACTAAGATAAATCACAAAATAGGTATCCAATTGCCAAGGGTATTATTTTTCATGAAAGGACAATTTTATCAGAAGAAATGCAAAGGAGAAATATCATAGGTAACTCCCAAACACATTTATAGTTTTTAATTTAGATCCACATTTCAGTATTGTGTTTTTTGCAACATTTTGGCAGAGGAAGAAAATAAATGTGGAAAAAATAATACAAGAATTAATCTCACTAGTCTTCAAACTGCTCCTTGTACCAAGATTGCCAGTGCCCAACATTGCACTGGCAATTGCACCAGAATGGTGCAATATGTCATTTTGTAATTCCTTTAGAACTTGTGATTCACTTTGTGTCTGGTATAGGAAAATTAAAATAATCTAGTTAGGGTAAAAGAAAATAAAAATAAATGTAAATACAAGATAACATTTGTTCTCAGTGGAACTTGTAAAAAACAATTGACTGCTTTTACTTTATCCTATAATAATAGCCCAAGTCTATGTATAGGTCTAATATTCTATTATCAAGACTTTGCCTCAAAAGATGCTTAGAAGCATCAATTAATATTTTGTGATATGGTTTTGCTGAGTTATTTTCCTGGCATATTTTATACCAAAGATTTTCTAATCGTCCTATTCTCTGCATCCTTCTTTTAGCAACTGTATCTTTAGATTCATAATACTTAAATTAATATTCCATGAATATGTACACTGCACTGAACTATGAACTAATGCTCCACTAACTTTGACAAGATAGCTCACAAGAAGATGGACATCACTGTGTATAGTAATCTTATCTATGTTTGAGCTTTAATAATAATTCTATTCTAATCACCATCAGATGCCAATAAAAGTGGTCTCTGGGCAAAATTTCTGAGAGCCTAACTACATTTCTACGTGTTTTAGAACAATTGTGTTCAACTAAAATCCAGTTTCATTATGGAGATGACATTAACTTCACAGCTATTTGCAGCTTTTCCAGTCAAAGGACATTGAGGAAGAAGTACTTGTACCTGCTCCTGATTTTGCCAGGCTATTGCTCAGAAGAAATTTTTTAATTCAGGTAAGTGGTAAGAATTTTAGCTTGATAGACCTGTTGAGATAACAGCAGAAATTCTTCTCTTTGTAGGTCCTTGTCTAAATCATTGTTCTGACAAGTAACAAGTTACTTTTTTCTCTTGGCTGCACCTGATGACAAGCAGCAATGTTGCTTACTCACAAGATTGAACTTGCAAAGGTGGCAGTAACATTGAAAAAATAGCTCTTGGCTTTCTACCTACACTGGGCCCAAAAAGATCAGAGCAATCAATGTCACCATCAGTGCGTCTGTATGTTGGTAGAAAGTTAGTTTCTTTTTGTGTCCTCCTACAATCTTAAATTAGTATTTCATTATTATTTGATTCTCTTTCTTGGAATAAAAGAAGCTGAAGAGAACATCACAGCAGAGTTGATGTCAAGAGTCCCAAAGCAGTGCTAAATGCAGTTCAACCGAATTGGTCAAAATAGTTGTAGAAATCAGAGCTGGCTCTTGAACTGATGGTGCAATAAGCCTCCAATGCATACCTCTCCTCACCACTGCTCAACCACCCCCACACACTTCTAGTCCAGACCCACATGTCCTCACTCAGCCACGTCTTTCTCTTGTGGATCATTCAGAACAATGGAAGTCCTTAACCTCATTTGTCTGGAGGGGGTTTTAGGTTTTAGCTTTCTACTCACTCACAGTTTAATGGAGCGGATCTTCATCAAGTGAACCATCCCCCTCACCATATAGCTCAATTTTTTTTTCTCTCTTTGAGGTAAACTGTTAGCTGAGATAACCCTCTTCTTTCCTTGTAAGGGAATGATGACAGAAGGGAACACTGCCGTGTCTTCACATTATACTTGGCATATTTTACCTTAAAAATATTTGTTTGCAAAAAAGCATTAACTGCTCATAAATAGTTAAGTCTTTACCAGAATAGCAAATGTAACTACTTAAAGTCTAGAAGTAAATACCTTAAGTAAATTATGCTTTTCAAAAACTTGCTTAATTTTGAACCCAGTCTTATCACTACTATAGTAAAAGAAACAAACTAGAAGAAAAAAATTATGCACAAGATATCTAGTATTAGAGGCTAATAGTACAATGAGTTCCAGGTGTAAAATTACATATAAATTTACTTGTAAAAATCACACTACATTGAATTTCTTTTAGCTGAAATGGGCATTAAATAACTAAGTAATAATGCCCTAAAACAATACAGAGACTACATAAATTATTGTAATAACTCTAAGCTCACCAACTACAGAATCCTACACTATTATCATCTTTATAGAGGCTAGGCACTGTAGTGAGCAAAGAAACTGAGGAAAATGTGTTATAATAGATGATTGCTAAAAATTCCTTTCAGAAATTGAAGGAAAGGAGGGGACTGCAGAAGTTTTATGTTCTGTGACTCAGTTGTGGTTTAACCCTGGTAGGAAGCACCAAAAAGAGAAAGAACTAAAAATACAGAATGAAAAGAGAAGGGGAAAAAAAAAATCAATGCAATTGCTCACCACCAGCTGACAAATGTCTAGCCAGTCCCTGAGCAATGAGTCCCTGCCAGCCAACTACCGCACTTTTACTGCTGAGCAAGACACCATATGGTATGGAATATCCCTTTGGTCATCCCTATGGCTCAGCTGTCGTGGCTGTGTCTCCTCCCAGCTTCTTGTGCACCCCCAACTTACTCACTAGTAGGCAGCTTGAGAAACAGAAAAGACCTTGACTGTGTGGAAGCACTGCTCAGCAACAGCTAAATCATTGTTCCATC